CTGGTAATATTGAAACTAATGTCCAGTTCTTGAAAAGTCACTGTGCATTTATGGGAAAGAAAATAAAATTTGAATATTGTGCATTAAAAAAATAAGATAATTTTCTGAAAACAGTCTCATTCAGGTGAAACATTGTGGTGGCATAAACTTGAATGAGCACTTAGTTATCTGATTTTTGTATTTCATCACAACTCTTTGCTTTGTGGGATTCCTCTTCAGCTAAAATCAAAGTATTTTTCCACAACTGAAGTTCCTTTTCTACATAACGAGCAGAAATCACGAAAGTCCATAATAAACACGGTATTCTGACTGAGATGCTGCCTAGCATTAAAATGGAACAATATACTTGATCAGATTAACACATTCATGAGATCTTTCACAAATTGCAAAGATGGTGACTTCTGAATTTATTTAAATGACAATTGCAACATACATTTGTGCCCTGGGCTCGCAAACTATTGGCATGTTTCCTCATAAAGCATTAATGTTAATGATTTAATTACTATCAATGTTTTTCTTTTCCCATCTCAATTTTTTTTTGTTCTAATTATCAAAATTATCATGAAGACCATATCTCATATAATAGCTTAGACTATTAGAGGGATGCAAGGATGGTTTTGCCCCTCATTTTCATAACCTCTCTTGAAAATCCTCAGGGCCTCTTCTCTTCTTTGATTTACGTGCCAAAAGGGAATTGCTCTAATCACAAAAGAAAACCACAGAGGCATTTCTTGAGTTTTGTGCCTCAATAAATAATTTGCAGAGGGAAGGAAAGAATTCATTAGGCCAAGGAATGTGAAAGGTATCAGAGGTTAACGTAAAATGCAAGGTGTCATGCCTGAGCTTCTTTTGTGTGCACCAGCAGAGGTGAAGGATAAGTCCTGGGTGGGACTGTGTCTTTATCCTGGAGTAAAATAGATATCCTCCTAAGTTGGGCTGTGCTGGAAGGGTCTCAGACTGACTCCAGACGTTAAAAGTTGCAGCTGATTCCCAGACAAAACAGTGCAGCTGCAAGTCTCAACTTCACCATTCCCTTTGAGCAAGGTGGTTCCTGAGCAGCCTGTGGTGGCCATCCATCCCAAATGCCGAGTACTTTTGACCAAGAGCATCTCCTGCCCTTTTGACATGCTAAGATGAGCAGGAGTCCCAGAGAGTCCCTCTGCAGTGCCCCAAATGGTCATCCTGCCCCGGTAGCCTGCT